TCTGGCACAATGATCATTCTGTAATGGTATTTATTGTACATCTTTGTGAATAACCCTAAATAAAATAAAAATGCTATACGGTCAGTCATCAAGAGTGGTTAAAGGACCACTATAGGCACCCAGACCACTTCAGCTTAATTAAGTGGTCTGGGTGCCTGGTCCAGCTAGGGTTAACCCATTCTTTTATAAACTTAGCAGTTTCAGAGAAACTGCTATGTTTATGAATGGGTTAAGCCTTCGCCCAATTCCTCTAGTGGCTGTCTCATTGATGCGCATGGGCATTCATGGGCATCTCAAGTAAATGTATTGGTTGCATGTATAAGGGATACTTGAAGCACTAAAGCTGTCCTAAAAAACATTTTACTATTATTTTTTTTTTTTATCATCTACATTTTTAGGATTTTTATCTCCACCTACCCCCTACCTCTCCATTGATTTAACTAAAGGTACTTTTTATAATCCCTCTAAAAAAATGTAACATACTTTGTCTTTAAAACGTTAAGTAACTGTTTTGAGTTTGAATACTTTGTGGGGTTTTATTTGTTTTGTTTTGCCTTGATTTGGTAGTCCTATGTTACCTCCAATTCAGTCATGTATGCACTAATGTGAAAAGCATTCAATGTTTAGCATGTGTTTAGCATCTGTGTGAAACATAAACATGTTGCAAGATAGGCCATCTTAACATCTTTCAAACAGGAAATGTCAAATCTGCACTGGAAAAAGATTTCACCACCTGTCATTATGAAAGTACAACAGCATTCTTTTATCAAGAAACCAAACAAAGTGACATCCCAGATGTTTAGATATTTCCTGTAATGTCAGACTGGCTAGTCTTTATCAGATATCAACTGGTTTAGAAGTAGTTGAGGTGGCTACATGGATGGTAATTGACTGGCTAATACATTGTATAAAGGTTACGGTTAAAGCAGTCATGTCCAAAGTCCGGCCCGCTGGCCAATTGTGGCCTGCGTTCCAGTTTAATACGACCCCGCAGGTTATTTGGCCAATCTTTCTGTTGTGGCCCCCAGTGAATCCCCTAGCGCCGCTCAGGATCCCTGGATCTTTGAACGCCGTGGCCCTGAGCGGCGTGCAGGGATTCACTGGGGGCCAAGAGATCGCGAGAACGCAGACGGACGTGCAGTGACCTCAGTCTGAGTTCTTGCAATCTCTTAGGCGTCGCGGGATCTCTTGAACGTCAACGTCGTGGGATTTGGTTCCTTCTTTCTGGAGGCAGAGAATGAAGGGGCAGAAAAAAAGAGAGAAGGGACAGAGAATGAAGGGGCAGAAAAAAAGAGAGAAGGGACAGAGAATGAAGGGGCAGAATAAAGGAGAGAAGGGGAAGAATAAAGGAGAGAAGGGGCAGAATAAAAGAGTGAAGGTAAAGAGAACAAAGTGGCAGAGAATGAAGGGGCAGAATAAAAGAATAAAAATGTGCTCTCTGTGCATGGCACATCAGTAGTGAAATTAAATGCAGCTGAAGGGTACATCAGACGCTTCTTCATCTTTTATTTAGCTGGAGTGGAAACATAATGCTTATGAATTAATGAAGAATGTTTTTTACTGTAATCTTGTCTCCGAGTATTTATTTAGGGTGAAATGAGCATGTGAGAATACAGAATAATTACAGCTTGTAACGTGATTAAAGTGTTTATAATAAAAAAGGCTATTTTATTCCCTAGCAGAAATTCACTGAATAGTAAACTTTCAATTTAAAATGTAGCGCTGGTACTGAAACTATAATCTGCTATACAAATTCAAATAAATCAGAATTGATTTAGATCTACATGAGGTCTTTTGGAATGGAAAATCCAAAGAATTATAATTGTGCGTTCAGAGCAGCCTCATAGTGATATGTGCAAAGTGCAGCGTGGGAACAAATAAGAAAGTGAGACTAAATGTGCCATTTACGATGTAGAGGACATGTTGGATACATTTCAAATAAAGTATCAAGTTTGAATACAGGTGGCCCTCGTTTTGCCACCTACCTGTTTTATGACAATTCGCACTTATGACCAGCTCTCTAGCGGGGTGGTAAGTGCGAGCCATCGTGGGAATTAGAGGGATTCACTGATCTACTGTGTTCGTCTATGTTTGGGGACATTTCCTTGAACATAGACGAACGCAACAGAGCAGGGAATCCCTCTCATCTATGTTCGGGGAAATTTCCCCGAGCATAGATTAGAGGGATTCCCTGCTCTTGTGCGTTTGTCTATGTTCGGGGAAATTTCCCCGAGCATAGATTAGAGGGATTCCCTGCTCTTGTGCGTTCGTCTATGTTTCTGGGAAATGTCCCAGAACACAGACATGCGCATCAGAGCAGGGGATTCCTTAAATCTATGTTTGGGGAAATTTCCCCAAACATAGACAAGCATACCAGAGGAGGGAGTCCCTTAACTCCTCACTTACCGACCAATTCGTTCTATGACCGGGTCGTAGGAACGGAACCCGGTCAGTAAGTGAGGAGTACCTGTATTTAAACAGTTGACAAAACAGTATAATTCACTGATTATTACATCTATGTGGTTGTCTTGCTCTAGGATTTTATTCTATACTGTAAGGTCTTTGGATTGTGCAACCTCCAAGCACAATAACCACCTCAGTGGGCTGTAGTCTTACTTTGACAAGATTCCCCTGGTGTCCACACACCAGGAACACGCCCAGCACCAAAACTGCTCTGCTCCGCTCCTGGAAGCCTCTGCACTGTGCTAAGCCTAGTGGTACAGGGCAGTCATTGGCTCAGAGTGCTCTAAGTGAATTAACCAGCCCTACACTGCAATGCTTAGCTCACTGGAGCTTAAGGAAGTTTTTTACAGGAGCTTATGACTCCAGAAGTGTTCAACAGGTTTACTACTTACACTGGGCGGCGCCAGAGCACTCCTGGCATCATTACCACTACAGCAGGCTGCAGTGATTATGGTACATGGCATGTTCCTTAAAACTAAGCATGAAAGAGTTTAGTAGCGCATTGATTTACAATGTATTACTCTATCTTCTAGTCCAGGGTGTTTCCGGCTGTTCAACCTGAATATAATATCTAAGCTGAATACGTAAATGTGCGTATTCACATATAACAGAATAAACCGTGTTTCTTATAACGTAATTTCTTACCTGTCCACCATATCCATTTTGAAGCTCAGCACACCTGTTTAATTTAAATGTTTGAATGTTTTAAGATTCCTCAGTGTTCGCTATAGAAAAACTCCCTAATGATATGCAGCTGTTTGATTTCCTACCCACAGCTGTGAATCTTCTTACAGAACCCCTCATCGCAGTGTGCTTGCTCAGAGGGATAGCATGCTGTTTGCTAATGATACGTTAGAGCTGCTTATACGCCTACCATTTTAAAAGGAAACCAAACTAAAGAACTCCGTACTGCATTGGGACAGTTCACTTACCAACGTTCTACGTGTATAAGCTGTTACCCGAATTACAACACCCAGAAAGCTTTGCCGTGCTCGCAAAAACTATACAAAACCCGGATTGCATAAAAATACTATAAAGCAAATAAATGCAGGAGCACTCCAAAATTAAAACCCATAACGTTAAAATGTTCCTATGGGATCTTTAATGTCTGCTTGAGAAAATGTTCTTGCAAAATGGACCAGGAAGCCCTCATGGCCATCAGTTTGACTGCCCTGGGTTGGTGTTCCTAAATGAGCTCATAAAAATGCCCATTTCTCTTCAAATCAGCACTTTTATTAATTGGGGAAAGGGGGACACTCAGTTAACACCTAGACCCCCTCAGCAAGCTAAAGTGCTTTAAGTGTCTAGGTTGTGTCTCTAATTGGGCCATAAACTGTACAATGCATGAAAGTTGTGTTTGTGCCTAGCGTGTCCCTTTAATACCAGGTAAAGAGTGCACTCACCACAAAACGCCTGTCACTTGCCACTTCCTTTGTTTACTGTGATTGAGCCTACATACACACATTGCTCTTGTGCCCATTTTTACCAAATATGTGATTTATTTTGCATTGCTGTTTCTATTTTGTTTTATTATTGCACCGAGCTGTGGAACTTGGCGGCCCTTGACAAACACTTAAATGCAGTGAAACGCCATCGTAGGTCCTGTTGTTTGGCTTTTTAAGAAAAATTCCCATAATACAATATATTACTCTAGTTAGAAGGAAAAGAAAGGCATTTGATATTTAAGCTGCAGTATACGGTGCTCTCTTTGTAACACAGGTAGACAGCTAAATTTTTAGCTGACAGTCATAGGAGTTACAGTAAACAGCATCTGGAATGTTACAAGTTGATTGTCACCATTTTGAGGGTTCTACTCCTGGAACCAATGTAGGCCTCCAATGTAGCAAAAGCAAGTTAATGCTAATAATGAACTGTAGTATTATAGTAGGGCAGTCCAGTAATCAGCTAGCTGCTTTAGTATATCCTAAAGTTAAAGAGTTAAACACATCCCTTGCATCAAGGTATGCAAAAAATTGTTTTTTAATTGGTTAATCTAACCCAGGCTTCCCCATACTCTGGCCCTCCAGATATTGCTGAACTACAACTCCCATGATTCTCAGCCCATCTATTTCATTCATAGAATCAGTTGTAGTTCAGCAACATCTGGAGGGCCGGAGTTTGGGGAAGCCTGATCTAACCTATGTGTCTTTGCCTTTTCACATTCACACTGTTAAATGGCTCTGTTTGGCTGTCTCTTTAAAGGTTCGTAGCTTGCCTTTATTCACTTTTGCCCCTGCACATTAAGCCAGAGAGAGAATGAAGTAGTATATTGATTTCTGTCCAGTGTGTTTAAAAATTAATTCAGAATCCATTAGCCATACGCAGGTCCATTTGTGTCAAAACGGAAAAAAAAAATGCTTTCCGATACTTCAAGAAATCTTTCTAGCGCATAATGGAATGAGAATTTTCTTCTGCTTTGTTTATTGGAAAAATAATTGTTGCTGCCCTTTGAAAAGACAATTGTGGTTGAGCTTTGAAGAAAAAAAAAATGTAACCTAAAAAGGATGCTGCATAGAAATTGCACTGCTATTCGTTGGCTTGGAGAAGGGGAGGTGTAGAGCATCTGAGAGAGACTTTAATGCATGCTGTCAGTGTCTTTGAAAGCGAATAGTCAGTCAGATTGGGATTGCAGCAGCCCTAAGTACAGTCCTTCAGATACACTCCAAGGACTTTCTCTTCAAAAAGGAACTTGGGGGATTTCTCATCACTAGACTCCAGCTGATGTGTTCATAACTAGTATTCAGAAGTGATTGTGTATTTTGTTTTGTTTTCTTTCCTGGTGTGGATACACAGCTGGTCCTTCAGCTTCAACATGTAGATGGTTTATGTGCGGTGCCTCTTGCCCTGTTGCCTAGACAATTATTCGCTTCCAAAGAGAATGTCTGGCTCTCGCAGAGACTTCGATGTCAAACAGATTTTGAAAATCCGATGGAGGTGGTTCAGTCATCAGGCGGCTCCTTCCGGCAATGTTGGTGGCGTACGTCAAGAGCACATTACGAACGGCGAGCAAAACATTTCGTCTATCGAGAGAAAGTTTTTAGATCCATGTAGACTGGCTCTGCCTTTGCCGTCGCTCAGTTACAGAAGAATTAGCCATCAGGACGTCACAGATTTACCTGCATGCCCAATGGCTTCAGCCTCCGAGGTCACCGTCCCTTCCATCGAGTTTACAACAGATGCCTCTGATGGAGCACATTTCCCTAGCAAATCCCAAGCCGAGGATGGTGTTAGCGATGAGGAAAACGAATCAGAAAGCAGTTCATGCAGGTTAGAGTAGGTCTGAGTAATATTTTCAGTACCTTGTTCCGGGTGGAGAAGCATCACACATTTCCTCCTAGTGAGTCACCGAGCCAAAAAAACAGACACCCTGGGTACATCATTCGTGTATAGTGTTTGTGGGTAATCTAGTATTATTGTTTGCTAATATATTATATATATATATATATATATATATATGTGTCTGTCATTGTGTGTCAAATCAGTGACAGTGTGTCTTCTGTATGTAAATGTATATGATCACTGTGTGTGTAAATGTGTGTGTTTCAGAGTTCTCTGTGTGCAACTGTTGTGTTTTAATTTTGTGACTTTTATACTTCAGATTAATAGTTTATACACAATATTCACAATAGGTCATAACATATTTTTACTACCTTTTAAATCAGGCTTGTTCTCTAATGGGATTAACCTTAATATCAGTGTCTACACATTTCATTTGGAATTTTAATTAATAGCAATTACTTTCACGAGGCAGGGGTACTTGGGAATTTTTTTTTAGACCTACTTCTGTAAAAGGTTGAGAAACACTTATGTAGAGAACACAATTTTAACTCTGTGGAGCTCTGTTATACAATCAGACAAACTGCACATTGCTGTGCTTTATTGCTGTAGGATTCCATTAGGCTCCTGCATCAAACTATGCGTATTTCTGCATGGTTATGTGATACTCTTTACTGTGTGCTTTATTGCAGTGGAGCATTTGGATTTTACATATGATATATACATTTCTCACATCACATTCAGTCCTTGCAGCCATTGGAAACATAGAATGTGACGGCAGATAAGAACCATTCGGCCCATCTAGTCTGCCCAATTTTCTAAATACTTTCATTAGTCCCTGGCCTTATCTTATAGTTAGGATAGCCTTATGCCTATCCCACGCATACTTAAACTCCTTTACTGTGTTAATCTCTACCACTTCAGCTGGAAGGCTATTCCATGCATCCACTACCCTCTCAATAAAGTAATACTTCCTGATATTATTTTTAAACCTTTGCCCCTCTAATTTAAGACTATGTCCTCTTGTTGTGGTCGTTTTTGATTACCTTTATATATATTTTTAATGTTTCTATCATATCCCCCCTGTCTCTTCTTTCCTCCAAGATTTCCTTTTATTCCACTAGTTGTGTCCTTAAGGGGTTTTATTCTACTAGTTGTGTCCTTAAGGGGTTAATCCTGCAATCCATCAACCAGTTTAGTAGCCCTTCTCTGAATTCTCTCTAAAGTATCAATATCCTTCTGGAGATACGGTCTCCAGTACTGCATACAATACTCCTAGTGAGGTCTCACCAGTGTTCTGTACAATGGCACGAGCACTTCCCTATTTCTACTGCTAATACCTCTTCCATTGTATTTTACAAATGAGTTTGAACCCTTTTATAGACTGTAACTTTTTTTTACCACCACTTAGCTTGTTTCTGTGGGTTTGCATTAGCATTTAACTACTGTACCAGGATCTGTGTGAATTGTATGTGCTATATAGGTACATTTTCGTAAAACAGTAAAAAGAATTATTGTGTCTTATAAATGCTGTTATAAATACACATGGTGAGTTCCATCTAGCAATACGGTTTGCTAAAGTGGTTTTAAAAAATGTTCTCGGTTCCTATATTATATTCACATCATCCCATATTAACTTTGTGTACTATATATAACGGTTTATATTGCTGGTACTTTGCTGGATGATGGAACCTAATTGCGATCATTTGTTATAGTAAAAGAAAGACCATCCATTCTATTTCTATACTTACAATTTTCTCTTATTTTTGTAAATTCAGCAGGGTTCAATGTTAACAATCTTTACTTATGCTAAAATGTCTTCATGTTTTACTGACATGCCATGACTAATATGTTTTACATCCTATGCTCATATTTAGCATTGGCATTGTGGTGGGGACGGTGGTAAAACAAACAAAAATCAAATAGGTGCATTTCATCAAGTATTTGACATCCAGTTTGCAAGCTTGTGACTGCACAGAGTGATGTGAGGGTTCTGTAACTTATTCAGAATTCATAATATAGCACATTGCGCCTGTAGGAACATTCTGCACTCTATGGATTTTGATTTTAATGGAATTTACTGCTGTGCCAGTGATATAGCCATTAACGATGCCAATCTGTCTCCAAATGATAATAAACAAACGCTAGGGGGTTGTAAGGGGTGTGGGCAGAGGCGTTTGTAAGAGCTGCATTATTAAAGGGACACTTCACTGTCCAAATACAAAATAAATACAAATCACTGTTTAGATAGTATACCCCAAAAGACAACTTGCATACATTTATTTATGAATTTTTTCATTGGGGGTAAATCTAAAAACAGCTTGCAAAACTACTGTTGTCTTGTCTGCTGCCTTTGCAAGCCCTCCTCTTCTAACCCCGCCCAGACTTTCTGTGGCTGTCCAATCACAGACTTCCCAATTACAGCTCAAGAAGTCTTTGCAAGGCAGCCGCTCCGGGCAATCGCTGCCTCTTGAATTCAGTGCAAATAAGCTAACCAAACCAGGAAGTAACAGGACCTGTTGTCTGCTAGACCTGTAACCAAGTAATTTAAAAAAAAAAGTAAATTTCTATTGAAATCTGTACTTTTTTCAAAGTTAAAAAAATAGGACACACTCTTAACACATAAAGTTTTTCAGCAAGCTTAAGTTGTTTATGGGTCTAGAGTGCCCCTTTAACATTAAAAACTCAAGTGTTACTTAATCCACAATAAATGTCTGCGTGTTAACTAGTCAAATAGCAGTTGATTAATATAACTTTACTGAAAGGGTTAATGTTGTAATGGACTCTAATCCCCTCGGTTCTCGATCCCTCGGTCACCATAATCAACGTTGATGGAGAATCATTTGTAAGCAATAACACACGGACAACAGCTTTACAAGACTCTCAAATGAGTGTATTCCAGAGCTGGCTTTTATACATAGTTTGCTTACATTAGCCATGGTATATGCAAATACAGTACAGACTATAAGATTTATTACTTCCTTATATTACGTTATTCTGACAATGGAAAGATAAGCTTTTGCATACGTCTGGAAAAGAATATCCTTAAAATCGGAATGGGCAAGACATCCTGAAATTTAGCATTGTCTTACATCCTATAGAAGAAATACCTTAGTCTGTCACAGTCAGCATATTATGTAAGTATTCAATATCCCTTCAGTCAGCAATAATCATGTTATAAACCTTATAAAAGCATAAAATACATATAAACAAGTTAACTATTTAATATTCTTACATTCCCCTCTTTGAGCAATAAAACAATTGCTCATCTTATCGATAAAATCTTACCAGGACAGAGAAACTTCCACATGGTATTTTCAGGGGTGCTAGTCACTCCCTGCGGGACTTTCATTAATTTCTTCACCTCGATTCCCATGTGGTAATTCCTAAGGCCCAGTTTAAAGATGGGTTGATACTCTACAGTGGCAGAGAGGAGAATTTTTAATTGTTTCTGTTCTGCATTATGGATTCATTTCTGTACTCTCTTCCTCAATGTACAAGTAAGGTGACAGTTATATAAAATCATACACAATAAGATCAGGACTATAATAACAAAAGGATAGAAGAATGATTTCATTATCTGAGATCCAGTAGGGGACCAACCAGTGAAGCATCGTACCAATTATGGGCTGAATCATTCTGAATTTGTGAACTCACCTTAAGGAGTTCTCCTTTTAGGATATGTGTGGCTACCTGTGTGTGTTATCTTTGGGAAAAATATAGTCCCCTGTGTATGTGGGTGCCCACCAGGTTAAATTCTTGGCAAAAAGATCATAAACTGGTACTGGTAATGTGTTAAATTGACAAGCTAATTTAACATCCTTTGATGATGTATGATATAATGTAAAATAGCAAGAGCATGAAAAATGTGAAACATTACCAGTTAACCATCCATTGCATTTACTGGATTGGGGTTTTAGAAGTAACCATTCATTATCTGTGAGGTTACGCTTTCCTCTAATCTTCTCTAGTTTAGGAATCATTAGTGTGTTTTCTAATGCCAATCCTTGTTGTTGTATCCATAAATACCTGATGGCACAAGTACTCCAGTTACCGAGATCTGTGGTGAATTTCATAGTTGCAACAGTTAAATTATCTAAATAATTATACATTGATTTATCTAAATCCAATCCTGTAACCTGTGATTTAACAACAGTTGGAGCCCAATTTGCAGTAGCATGAAAACCAGTCCCTATATGCATGCTGGCTGTGTTTAACTTATTCTTGAGGGTCTCCATATCTATAACTATTTAGTATACCCATAGTGGTTCCAGCACCTCCTAACAGTGTGTCATACCATTCCCTTTTCTGCCTTTGTTTGCTGTGTTACATAATGTTACAACAGGAGTAGTGATTTTTAATGACACATGTACAGCTTGTAAGAAGGCAGTTGTATTAACACATGTGGACGGAATAGGTGTGTGTGTGTCGTGTTTGACTTTTGGTTCTATGATAGTGGATGAAGGACAGTAATAAGGTGTAAAAATATAAGGTAGTGTATAGTTCTCAATTGTAGTGTTGTTCATAATGACTAACATTTGTCCCCTTCTCCAATTAATGATACCAGTTATATAATCATTATTAAAAGTAATAAGGCCTGTCTGTTTACATTGATATGCAACCTTAACTGTGCACATTTCTGCGTTATAAGATCTAACAATTTTCTGTGAACCTTTAAACAAACATAATGCATCGGTTTCATTAGCTGTAGACACATTTCATATGGGTAACTGGTACTTATAAGGGTTGCTATTTGTCCAGTTCATCCAAATGCGTTCAGTGAATGAATGATTGCATATTGCATGCTGATAGAAAGGTGGTGGAGAAAGGTTCTTGAGAGAGCATGTGTGACGAATGCTAGATGAGGGGCTAAGGCCTAATTGGGCTGGGGGTATTGAAGAATTGTTCATCATGTCAGAGTCTTTTTCCAGAAACAGACAGGTTTCAAACTTGCCATTGACTTGTACTCATAATGGCATTCAAGGAACAATATCAGAGGGAGTATAACAACTCCAGAAAGCATAGCGCACAACATAATCTTGGTCTCAGGTACGTATGATCCTCTCAATCTACGATATGGTGTGAAAACCATGATGCTTCGCTGAGGAGAAATTCTTCTGTTTCCGAGCGAGGAGTGGTGTTGTCTTTCTTGGTTCCCCTCTTTGGACACAGCTTCACTCGGGATGCGTGAATCCAGATGTCATGGGAATCTGTGAGGACAGCGGTTCTGGTTACAGCAATCACAGTAGCAGGTGGTCCAAAAGGGTATCCTCCTTTCTTGGTCCTGTTCAGCTGACGGATATACACCTTGTCACCGGGCTGGTATGAATGAGTAGGTTCCTGTGAAGGTAAGGGAAAACTGCGAAGAAACATTGTCATACATACCATTCGGTTTTATCAACAACTCCTGTACATATTGTTCTTGTATTAGCTGTAAATCCCCAGACATTATAACAAGCGGTTCCCTGGCCCAGGGTGTGGGAAAAGGTCATCCCATCAAAAATCTCAGATGGAGATAATTTAGTCACCTTGTGGGGATTCATTCTTATCTCAGCTAAAATAGCTGGTAGATATCTAGTCCAATTTACCCATGTTCCTGGGTAAATTCTGGGCTTTTCCTTAATAGTCCTTTTCATCCTTTCAACTACCCCTGTATTCTGTGGATGATAGGGTATATGAAACTGCCAGGTAACTTGCAAGAATTTAGCAAGTTCCTGGGCAACCCCACTTGCAAAAACCGGGCCATTATCAGAGCCAATCTGCAGAGGGCAGCCATACCTGGGAATAATTTCAGTAACAATAATCTTCACTAGCATCCTCCCTAGATGTCACAAAGGCCTCATGCCATCTACTAAACTGATCAACTATGACCAGTAAGTATTGCTGTTTCTTACCAATTTTGGATACATGAATAAAATCAATCTGTAAGTGTGTAAAAAGAGCAGCGTTCACACGATCTTACAAAAGACTGTACATGCTGCCTAAGATTCCTAATATAAAATGAATTCATGAGGAATTGAATGGTGCTTGCTATGTGCCTGACTGATGAAAATAAATCAGCTTGCTTCAAGTATGCCTATTCTCCCCTCTTTAGAGAACAGATCATTTTGATCTTTCTCTAAACCTTGTTTAATCCAAAAGACAGATTCTGGGTATTTAAAAAAGAATCTCATAACCACTGAAGCGCTGGGCTGTCATGTGTTGTGTGGTGAGATTTGTCATCAGCTGAGTGACCTGGTGACTGGCATGAAGTATTGTAGGATGCCCTAGTGTGATAGTAGTAGCAGTTTCAACAGCCATTGCACATGCTATCAATGCTCTGAGACACGCCGGCATACCCTGTACCGGAGCTTGAACTACTTTGGAAAAGAATGCTATGGGACGCATACCGCCTCCTTGCTCTTGTGCACAGACTGCGGCCATGGTTTTACAATTGTCCCAAGCATACAAATGAAATGGTTTACAATACACAGGTAGTCCTAAAGCCTGGGCTTGCACAATAACAACTGTAAGGGCAATATATGCAGCTAGCATGTCTGGTGACCAGCAGACATTTTCAGGGCTGTCAGAACGTACAGCCTCCCTTAGGATTGAGTCATAATGGGAGCATTCAGGGATCCATGGTGGCAGTAATTAATCATGCCGAGGAAGGTGAGCAACTCCTTCCGAGTAGTGGGTGTTGGAATCCTCTGAATGACCTCAATACGTTTTGGACTCAATTGTCTGGTGCCTAAAGCCAGAACAAAACCTAAGTATTCAACCTTTGATTTACACAATTGCATTTTGTGTTTAACAACCTTGTGACCTACAGTTGCTGACAGTATCCACAGTGCTTGCCTCATAGCTAGGGCTACATAACAACAAATCATCAACATTTTGCAAAAAGGACGGAACCATGACCGGTGGTCCATGTTTTTTTTTTAGAGTATGTTGGAGTACCAACGAATAAACAGCTGGGGAATCCACATAGCCTTGGGTAAGCGTGTCCAGGTAAACTGACAGCCTTCAAAAAGTAAAAACCATAAGTAGCTGTGTCTCTTGATCAATAGGTATAGAAAAAATGCATTACTTAAATCAATGACAGTGAAGCAAGTGGCATCATGTGGAATGGCTGTAATGAGGGATGTCACATCAGGGACAATGGGTGAAATGGGCACAATTAAACTATTCAGGGCTCTAAAGTCCTGAACTAAGCGATATGCTGGCCAGTGGTGTTGGGAGTGGGTCTGGTGTTGTTCTTGCCTACAGGGCATATTTTGAGAATTGTGGGGTTGTTGGGGTGTGTGGGGTTTCCTGGGGTTTCCTGGGGTGTGGACACTCATTCCTCCAGTGGCCATATTGGCCACAGTTGAAACAAGTGTTCCTGTCTATTCCTCCTTGGTTACCCCTGCCCCTATAACCCTGATTTCCCTGTCTCCATCCCCTTGCCCCTCTTTGACCACCCCTTCCACGGGCTTTATGTGCTCCATCCCATCCTCGCTCTCAGCCTGTGTAGGTGGCAATCCCTGAGCATAATAAGCAACCTTACTTTCCTAAATCTTTTCTTAATTCAAAACAACCTGCATTTTCCTTTTCTATAACCTTGGTAAGAAAATCTGAGCTATCCAAATTGGCCCAGTCTGAAATCAATTGTTTCACAAGCAAATAATACTGTGGCAACATATTACCAAGGCATGACTGTATTTTAAAGAGATCTATATCATCTCCAGACATCAAACCTGCCTCATCCTTCCAACACTTGTAAAATTTCTTTACAAAAATCATATTACCAATCTCTTCCTTTGCATCTTGCTTATATGCCAAAGCAGTGAATATAGACTACCTATTCTTCCATAATCCCAACATTTCAGCTTCCACCTTGTTCCAAATTTTAGCACATCTTACTGAAGTACTAAGCTCATAATCACCAATTCATTTCAAACCATATAACTCATACTCAGCATCCAATGTAATATTACACGTCATCTCACAAAACAATATCTTTATAGAAACACATAATGGGTACCCAGCAGATATGCCAATACAGAAATCACATTTATGGGCACACAACTACACACTCTGTCTCCCTCCTAGGAAACACAGATAGACACAATATAAAAGCAATCTTAAACTAACACCTCCAAATCTCCAACTATTCTTGGCCAAAACACTAGTATTCAACAACTAATAAAACAGTTATTTGCTAGGTTATTTGGCTGTCATTCTTATCAGTATCACTAGACTGTGACAAACTGATTCACATATAATTTAAAACAATACAGCAACATATACATTAAACCACTTTCAAGTTAAACTGCACACTTATCACACATTATCACAATCACCATTTACACAAAATAAAGAGTTAACAGCTGTATTCAGAACATATTATTGGAAAGTATACCAATTTTAGTTTAGATTTATTTTAGGGATTCTTATGTATACATTTTCTTAATTAACTTCATTACTTTAATCTACTATAGTATTATATATAAAGAAAGGATCCATTTATATAGCGCGCTCATAACTCAACTATTTGTATAAAACTACCATTAACTAATCTGAGATGATGCTGCATCAACTTAAATCTTACAGAAATTTTTTGCAAACATCTGGACCAGATTAAACAGACATGGTTTCACCTGAATCTTTCAGAACTCTCAGAGACTTAAAAATTTATACTGTACCATGTTTTAAAGGCATGGCAAACCTTTAGACCGGTCAGTCTCCAAGAGCCCTTAGTAACACAGGTAAAAACCTTTGTCCATGATTTCTGATTCAGGCTATATACCACAATTTAAAATAACACATAATGTGAGACATAGAAGACACAAGCAGTAGTTATTACACTGGATCATTTAAAAGGAACCTGTTGCAATAAAAAGGTTAGTTTACAGTGCAAAATAAAGCATGTGTTGGACCGCTGAAAATGTAAATGTTGCTCTTATTTTCAAACAAAAATTATATTTACAGTATGGATCCTTTGCAACAAACACACAGGGCAGGGAAGAAGTGCTGATTGGTGTTTCTATACAATTAATCCCATATGGGGAATTAACTTCCAAATACTAATGAAGTGACTTTTTGTCTCAGTTATAAAATATACTGAGCTCATCATGCAAACAATGCAACACATTTACACTATCCCACTCTCATAATAAGTGTAGTGGGCTTATGGTATTTTTAAAGCAGCAATCATACCAGGCACATAGATCCCATGTGAAATAACTTACAATAAAACAGAGTAATAAACTTATACTTCTATGCGACAGAAAGAATAAAGCAAAAAGATTTAAGTAGGTCTATCAGGTACAACCTGTGAGTCATTTCTTTTCTAATATACAGTACTGCTATCTTGCAGAAAGATAAGTCCTGCGCTCACTCCCATCACTACTGGGCAGCAGCAAGGACTACAGTACACATCAGCCCCAATATATGGTAAAAACCAAAGAAAAACAAGTTACCTGCGTTCTCTCCTTAATCCCTATGTATTTTTAAAACCTCCATTTGTTTAAAAGTACTGCTATCTTATATATACACATATACATATACACACACATATATACATACATATATACATATATACATACACACACATATACATGTACATATATTGGTCACTCAGGACATGAACTCACATTTCCCATACTGCTGACTCAGAGTGGGGACACTACTAACTTACCAAAGTGTGTCCCCAATATAGACAAACAATCACCCACAAAAAACACTTAAGACAAACAAAGGTGACCGGGAGAAAGAGAAGTTTGGGTTATACTTATAGATCTACAAACCGTGCTGCTCAGAACACCTATAGACTTAATAAACCGGAGACCTCTTATGGTCTCAAAAACCTGTATCTACCTGAGATACCCTGTATCTATCTTAGATACTAACCTGGGTTACCAAAACCCTATAATAAACCGGAGACCTCTTATGGTCTCAAAAACCTGTATCTATCTTAGATACTAACCTGGGTTACCAAGAACCCCTATATATATTTAGACCAAATGTCTAATAAACCGGAGACCTCTTATAGTCTCAATATAAACCGGAGACCTCTCATGGTCTCAATATAACTAGAGTCCTTACACCTTTCCTATCTACTGGATACAGACTTACTGAACCAAAGGGGGGTCATAGACAATCAGCGTCAAATAAGACACAAAAAGGCTACTCACCGCAAATGGTTTTGCTGATCCAACTTCTATCCCACTTCTAGACACCAAGCTGAAAGGGTTAATGTTGTAATGGACTCTAATCCCCTCGGTTCTCGATCCCTCGGTCACCATAATCAACGTTGATGGAGAATCATTTGTAAGCAATAACACACGGACAACAGCTTTACAAGACTCTCAAATGAGTGTATTCCAGAGCTGGCTTTTATACATAGTTTGCTTACATTAGCCATGGTATATGCAAATACAGTACAGACTATAAGATTTATTACTTCCTTATATTACGTTATTCTGACAATGGAAAGATAAGCTTTTGCATACGTCTGGAAAAGAATATCCTTAAAATCGGAATGGGCAAGACATCCTGAAATTTAGCATTGTCTTACATCCTATAGAAGAAATACCTTAGTCTGTCACAGTCAGCATATTATGTAAGTATTCAATATCCCTTCAGTCAGCAATAATCATGTTATAAACCTTATAAAAGCATAAAATACATATAAACAAGTTAACTATTTAATATTCTTACATTTACGTGCAAAAAACATACGCTGTGAGACAATACTCAGCAGATGAGCAGTGAATAAATATCCTGTACACTATGACGATAGCCGTGTATAGATAATTCTATAGTATGTTGTGAATACACTGTAATTTAACGCATTAGGAAATGGAAAGACTTTCTGCACTCAGATTATATGTGATGACAGATTTTAAAATTGGTTTCTCGTGATGCATGTCATAGTGGGTGTTTAGTCTATTTCATTCTGTTGAAAACCACATAACATAATGGATTTATGGTGCTTTTCCAAGCAACTGTGGAAATAATGGGGCATATTTATCAAAATAGTGTGATCTGAAAAGGTGGGAAATCACTCTGAGACCTGTCAATGTTTTGTTGGTCGCACTGATTTTGCAGATGCTTGCTTGTTTATTTAAATATACACTAGTCATTCCATAGAGCCGGGCTAGTAGATATTTAAAAGAATACTTCAAACAGAAAGCAATTCAGCCTGCTGGAGTGGGTCATGCGTCTAGAGCAGGGATAGGCAACCTTCAGCACTCCAGATGTTTTGGACTACATCTCCCATCATGCTCTAACACCCATAATGTTGGCAAAGCATCATGGGAGGTGTAGTCAAACATCTGGAGTGCCAAAGGTTGCCTATGCCTGGCTTAGAGTCAGCCATTTTTCTCCCAACTGTTTATAAAAATGGAGATATCGGTGATGACGTGACGTAAACACGCATCAGGAGGCGGGCTGTAGGGGGTTGACGGACCGGCAGCCAAATGTAACCGCGTGATAGCCGCGTTTTGAGCTGAGAAGACCACGATAAGAGATTGCAGCTCACTACAATAAGCTCTGAGCAGCGAAACAGGAGACTGAAGGTCCCAACTTGAAAGGTGAAGACTGAGAGAAGGAGAAGATAGGAGTTAATAAAATCAAAGCTAAACCTCTGCAGCATTGGAAGATACATCGTGGTGCAAAAGGGTCTGACAACTACAAAATAAAAGCAAGTACAATTATTAAGATCATGAGTGTATAATAAGGTGTTAATATGGGAATATAAAGACTTGACTTTCATAAATTTGCATGTATATTTAAACAGAGAGAGAAAAAGAAAGGAATATAAAAGAAAAAGGGACATCTAGACGAAGCAGTGAAACAAATGGCTACTGCAAAGATACCAAAGAAAAGAGAACGTAAAGGGACACTATAGTCACCAAAACAAATTTAGCTTATTGAAGCAGTTTTGGTGTATAGATCATTTCCCTGCAGTGTCACTGCTAAATTCTCTGCCATTTAGGAGTTAAATAACTTTATTTATGCACCCTAGTCACGCCT